TTTTCCTGTTCTTCCTTTATCACGTATTTTGTGCTCTATTACACCATGGTCACACTTATCGAAGGCTTTTGCAAAGTCTGTGTATACTACATATCTGCATTATGCTTGTTTTCTAGGGCATCCAGGACCTTTTCATAGTGGTCCAGTACTTGGGACAGGCATGAGTGACCTGCTCTTAACCCATATTGCCCTGGGTTGTGCAAATGATGGGTATCTAGATCAGTGGCAGTCTTGCTTCTTAGAACCCTTTCAAAGATTTTTATGATATGGAATGTTAGTGCTATTGGTCTGTAGTTCTTAGCTATTGCTTTACCCCCCCCTTTGTGGAGTGGGGATATGTCTGTTGTTTTTAACAGCTGTGGGATGACCCCTGTGTCCATACTCCCTCTCCATAGAATGCTAAAAGCATGTGACGGGCTTCTTGAAGTTCTTGTTGAACACGGAGTTCCATGAGTCTGGGCCTGGGGCAGAATTCATGGGCATGTCATTTATTGCCCTTTCAAAGTCATGTGGTGTTAGGATAATATCAGATAAGTTTAAATCTACCTAATTCTGGGTCTCAGTCATAAAAAATTAATTTAGGTCTTCGACTCTTAGTCTGGTTAGTGGCTTTCAAAAAACTGAGTTGTACTGGGACTTGAGTAACTCGCTCATTTCCTTGCTGTCATCTGTGTAGGACCCATCTTGTTTAAGTAGGATCCATCTTGTTTAAGTAGGACCCATCTCATCTAAGTAGGGGCCCAATACTGGATGTTGTTCTCGACTTAGATTTGGCATAAGAAAAAAAATTTTGGGGTTTCTTTCAATTTCATTTATGGCTTTTAGTTCTTTCTGCGTTTCTTGTCTCCTGTAAGATTCATTTAGCTTAATTCGATATTTGTTATTTCTCTTACTAGTGCGTCCTTTTCTATTATAGATATATTGGCCTCTTTTAGCCACTCTGTAATACTTTGCTTTCACTTGTAGAGGGAACACCTCTCTCTTTCTAGTTTACTTCATTTCTTCCTTTTCCCTAACCCCTTTGGTGTCGGTACTATAAAAGTACGGCTTTGAAGCCAGCATCGGTTCCATAATTACAATGCCAAAATTCTAGTGGTTGCAAATCTTGCAGGAGACAGCTGGTAGGCCTACATATGAGATGGGTCTGCATGGTCAGAGTGGGCAGTATAAAAAAAAAAATCCTGCAGCAAGCAGGATCACTCTATTGTTCTCTCATTCCCTTCTATCCTTCGTGCATCCCCCCTGCAGTGCTATATGACCTCATCAGGTTTATCCCATCTGGTCTATCAGTTGGCAGCAATAAAACCAGAATAATAAAACCAACCTCGACTAGAATGCCAGGAAACAGGGGCTAGTAACCCCTTTCCTATGTATATTACTAAATGTAAAAGGGAAACTGTCATTTTTCTTTTTGGTCACCCCGCCTCAGTGGATACGGCTGGTGCTTTGAAAGAGAAAAGAATAAAATAAACCCTTTGAAAAAAACCCCCAGCAAATGCGTCAAAGTCACTATTTTAAACCCCAAAACACAAGGTCAGAAATTAGTGTTCCTATCATGCACTGCATGGAGCAAATTCTTTTTATACTACGTTCTCCCATTGCACTCCTATTCTTTCGCATCTAGGCCACAATTTACCCCTTGGCACATTTCAGGTGCTCTGGTTACATGAGTGGCATTGATCCAGAAATGTTTACAAATGCAAGAGACAAGGAAAATGGAGCTCTTTGTAAAAAATTTTTGGTATAAATTTGGAAAAAAAAAACTAGGTCATTCAATGAATTTTCTAGGGTTTAGCTAGGAAATCCAAAGAATTTAGAAAGGTTGGCTGCTACATGTTTGAAGCATGGAGGTGCCACTATGCTTAGGGTAATTGCAACCCTTAGGGGGCTTAGTTCTTAAATTGATTATATTATTATAAAGGTAATTATCAGTTAGATAAATACTGATGTTGGTATGAGGTTTGGGTATGTTTGAAAGATTAGTACCCACTGTAGAGAAGAAAGTATTAATTTTGGTTCACAGTATCAGTACTTGAGAGGGCAAGGCAAGTGCATTTGCTTAGGAATTTTAATTTTTTTGTGTGATTTCTTGCATCCCCCCTAGACTCTGATAAGAGTTTTCCAAGTTGTTTTTAATATCTTCTTTGGCATTTTTTTAAGCACACCCTGTCTCCTGTGTTTATCCTGGGAGTAAAAAGGGTTCTATCCATAACCCTGACCTATGAGTCCCTTACAACAAGATTTTTTTTAAATTCAAGTTTCACTCCTTTGCCCTATGGGTCTCCTTGTCATTGACCGATATTCATTTGTCCATAAGTACAATGGACCCCTGGTTATCATAATTAATCCGTTCCAGAGAGAGTGACTTAAACCCGAATCAAAACAATTTCCAAATTCATTTTCCCGATGAGAAATACATAATGTAAATCCAATTAATCCGTTCCAGACACCCAAAAGTATTAAAAAATAATTTGTTTACATGAAATATACATTTACCTACACAGAAAATGAGATATGCAGAATAAAACAATAATAAAATGACACCTTTTTTGAAGACTTGTTGATGTATGGAAGAAAGGAGAAGGGAAGAGGATGGAGGAGTTAATATTGTTTGGAAGGGGAATCCCCTTCCATAAAGACTTTAGGTACCAAGTCCTTTTCCAGGGTTATTTCCCCTTCTTTGTTTTTTAATGCCACTAGGACCAGCTTGAGTCATTGGACCCCTGTCGCTCAAAAAAGTGTTCCAGAGAGGTCTGTTTCTGGCATATGTTAGGAATTGTGGAGCGGCAGGGGATTGTTGGGAGACAGGACAAGATAGTTCTTCAATATGACACTAATATCAATCTACGGCTTATTTATCTAGCATAATTCATCTAATACAATATAAATAAACAATATTAATAACATAGAAACATTATATATACTCTGGGAATGAATAAAATATGTCATTATGTATGTGGCGAGTGATCGTGCATTGTGTTGTTGGGTGTATTAGGGCCACTGAAAGAAAAGCCTTACATAGTGGTGGTGAAGGCAGCAGCAAGAGGTGGCGGTTGTTTTTCAGTCGCCCTTATACCTTCAACAACATTGGAGGAGTCGTTTTGTGCTGTCCTTTTTCTATCGATTAATTGCTTAACTTACTTGCTACACTGTTAATGCTCGTTTTATTGCTGGCTGGCGCTATAGCCTTTTCGACTCCTGCTGCTTTAGTATCGTACATATCCGAATCACTGAAGAAGGCACATTCTCCCCTCTCTCTCAGCCCTTTCCCAAAGGGCTGGCACTAGGAACTTCCTTGGGGCCCATGGTGGCTTATTTAGCAGTTGAAAGCACTCAGAAGAATGGAATAGTATGAAATATATCGTATGAATGTGTGGGATTGTGCTCATTGGCTGATAAACAATGACACACTGAGTGTTGGGCCACTGTTGCTGTGTGGATGCGTTCAGGACAAATGAACTATGACTGAGCTCAATGACGATCCTGAGCCAATATTTTGATGAAAAAACATTACTAAACCTACCCATCCGACATATGACCGAGTTCGGTTCCGAGAAACCGGTCTTTAAGTCGAAATGGTCGTAAGTCTAACTTTACTACTGATTTCAACATCACTTTTTGTAATGACTTTATTTATTGTTTTATTTTTGTATTTCATGTTTTTACTTTATTTTTTATGCTGTTAGTACTGTATTTTATACTGTAAGGTTTAGGAATAACACTGTGTAAAACACAAATAGTTGTTTTTTCCCAGAAATTTGGCATAAAAACACGGTCGAAAGTCGAGTGGTTTGTAAGTCGAGCAGGTCGTACGTCGGATGGTAGGTTTTATTTCGGGAATATTGCGAAATCGGGGGGGTCCACTGTATAGTGAAAGCATTTGTGCTGTCCATAACTGCTGCTTCAATCTTCTTCATTTCCAGATTCTTCAGCCTTTGTTCACTCACTACTTTCCCCCTGTTATAGCTATTTATTTTTTTCTTTTCCCTTTTCCTATGATGTTAGTTATGAATCCTCGTGTTTTTCTTCTTTCAGAAGTTTGGGCTTCATTTTGCACTTCAAACTCCTCTTTCAGATGATGGTGAGTGACCCTAGCTTAAGTGAAGACATAATTTTTCATTGTCTAAACTCTAAGTTAACACACCACTAAAACTCTTCTTCACTTCAAAAACAACTGCACATCCTCTACCTATACATCACTCCTAAGGCTTAATTACTTCTTTTTGATACTGTAACAACATTTATTAGATCTTTTGTTTACTTTTAAAAACATTTATTAGATCTTTTGTACTGTTAACAACATTTATTAGATCTTTTGCTACTGTTAACAACATTTATTAGATCTTTTGATACTGTTAACTTTTATTAGATCTTTTGATACTGTTAACAACATTATTAGATCTTTTGATACTGTTAACAACATTTTTTAGATCTTTTGATACTGTTAACAACATTTATTAGATCTTTTGATACTGTTAAAAACATTTATTAGATCTTTTGCTATGTTAACAACATTTATTAGATCTTTTGATACTGGTTAACAAAATTTATTAGACTTTTGTACTGTTAACAACATTTATTAGATCTTTTGCTACTTTTAACAACTTATTTAGATCTTTTGCTATGTTAACAACATTTATTAGATCTTTTGCTACTGTTAACAACATTTATTATATCTTTTGATACTGTTAACAACATTTTATTAGATCTTTGCTACTTTTTAACAACATTATTAGATCTTTTACTACTGTTAACAACATTTATTAGATCTTTTGATACTGTTTACAACATTTATTAGATCTTTTTTGCTTCATCTGTGTCGTCGCAGTAGAATGAACAAGGAAATGAAGCACTCATGGTAGAACATTTCCTTTAATAAAGTCTTTTCCCCTCATTTGTCCCAAATTATCACGCCTTTTACAACTATCACAATTTACGGGAAAAACAGTTACGTTGATTATAATTATTAATATCCAAACGATTTATTTTTTTGTTTACAGGTGTTGCAGTGGGAGACAAAAATGCTGAGTAAATCAGAAATTCATTGAGCAGGACACACTATTATGAAATTACTCTTCTAAAATATAGATTTTGTTATGGATGCTGATCACAATATACTATTATTGTCTTTTTTATATTGTACAATTTTATAAAAGTATAATTGCTTGCTGAATTAAATTTTATGTTAATCGCTTGCAATGTGATACCAAAAAATATAACATGGGTTGTAAAGATTTTAATAAAATTTTAATTATATAAACAAATGGTTTTTTCATTTCTTGAGATAGGAAATATTAAGTTGCAATCCATTGATCTTTCTTTCAACACACGGCCGTATCCCACCGAGGCGGGGCGGCCCAAAAAAAGAAAAAAGTTTTTTCGTCATCAAAACTTTCCCATCAAAATCATACATAATCACTGTCTTTGCAGAAGTGCTCGTAAACAGTTTAGATAAAATAGTAGAAAAAATTGTGCTGGTGAAGAGAGAACCTTTGTTATTGACGATGTTTTGCCCTAAAAGCATTATCAATCATACAAGGGTAAAAATTTCAGAACTTATAGTAGAAATGACGTCAGGTTTTTCATCTGTGGCACTGATCTGAAGAGAAACAGTCACCCCAGACATGTGAAGGGGTCAGAGACATCTGTGGGTTATCCCATACTGTTTGATTTTACCAAGGGTTGGCAATACTTTAAAAGCCCCTTGATTTGTCTTATAGTGTTGGAGGTCTGTATGATTGCTAATTATAGTGTTGGAGGTCTGTATGATTGCTAATTATAGTGTTTTAGGTCTATAAATTGCTAATTATAGTGTTGGAGGTTTTTTTGGTTGTATTTAAAATGTCTAGTTTTGGTTTTCTTAATATTTATGTACACATTCAGTTCTAAAACTCTTGGCATAATCTGCTTCTGCAGTTGTAGGGTGACTGGGATTAGGTATGGTCAGGAAAACAAAGGAAGGCAATAATACCATGACCAAGGGCAAAAACAAGCCACACCAGGAGAGAAAGCTTATGATGACGTTTATTCTGATGAATTATTTATTACTCATTTGTAAACACAAAAGTGAAAGGGGGCCAGTGTAGTTATAGAAGGGGGTCGGGAGGGATGGGACAGAGAAAGAAAAGGGGGTGAAGAAAGGGAGTGGTAGAGGTAATGTGGTAGGGAAGTGGTAGAAGTAATTAGGGAGTAGGTGAAAGGGGAGTAATGTGAGGCAATGGTAGTGGTAGTAGTGGTGGTCAGGTCCACATTCCTTATCCGAAACCTTGGGCCGTAGTGTTTCGAATTTCAGAAAATTTTTTAATTTCAGAATGAAAAGGGGGGGTCTAGGGCAGCACCCATAATCAAACATTAACACTGCAGCAAAATGTATGATTACTCACACTAAGGGGATAAATAAAAACTCAATACCAGCCATCCCGGGTCTGGTGGGCCCGAGGTAAAGTTCACTTCACACAGCGAGGGGGCTGGGTTCGATTCCCATCCCAGTATGAAGAAAGTGGGCTTTTTCTTTGCAACTGTTGTTATGTTCACCCATCAGTTAAATGGGTACCTGGGTGCTAGTGACTGGGGTGCGGTCGCTCCTGGGACACTGACTTATTTGCCCCAAAAAAGTCAGATAACAGGCGGTTTCTATAAAAGTAGTAATGTCATTGATGTCAGTAGGCCTGTGTACCTTGTACATGTACTTGTAGTAAATGAAGTTTTTTTATTTTATATTTTTTAATTATTTATAAATGAATAATGGTTTTAATTATAGACCAGGAACATTTAAATTGGACAGGCGGTGTTTTCAAAGACTTCTTAAGTGTATCTGTTTATTTAACATAGGTTTTTTTGTCTAAGCATTCCCCTTTAACTGAGTAAAATTGCATAATCTCTTGGTCATCACTGTCACTATAAATTACTTCCCGTAGCTTGTCTTTCTGTTTCTTTAAATCAAAAACATGTGTTATTTTTTATTATTTTTATTATCACCCCTGGCCGTTCCCACCAAGGCAGGGTGGCCCGAAAAGAAAAACTTTCCATCATTTACTCCACACTGTCTTGCCAGAAGGGTTGCTTTACACTCAGTTTTTAAACTGCAACATTAAACCCCTCCCTTAGAGTGCAGGCATTGTACTTCCCCTCTCAGGATTCAAGCTCCGCCGCCGCCCGGGTTTCCTGGAAAACCCCCTTATAAATGTTACTTTGCTCAACTTTCCCAAAAAGCATGTCAAGGGATTAAAAACCTTCGTCTCTATTCATCCTAAACAACACGCTCACGCACGCCCTGCTGGAAAATCAAGCCCCTCGCACCCCAAAACCTCCTTACCCCTCCCTCCCAACCTTTCTAGGCCGACCCTACCCGCTTCCTTCCATACAGACTGATACACTCTTGAAGTCATTATTTCGCTCCATTCTTCTACATGCCCAAAAACCTCAAAACCCTTTCCCCAGCCTCTGGACAACGTTTTGGTAATCCCGCACCCCTCCTAACTTCCAAACTACGAAAAAACCTCTTTTTTCACATAAAAATTGCCCTCAGCATGACATCTCCATGCCTCCAGCCTATTCTCCACCATATTCTTCAGTAAGGGAGTGCACTGACACACCACGATCAAGCTTCTGCAGTAACTCTACTTTCTGCATTATTGACAACGTCAGATGCTTCCTTTTCTTTTTCTCACTGTTACCCATAGGGTATCTGCAGCTCTCTTTGATATTTTCACTGTGAAATTAACAGTCACAAAATAAAAGCAAAAAATATCAGCGAACAGCAGACGCACATGTGAACACTACAAGTGCTGAGACACAACCGATGGTGTCGGAGTTATGTAGAGATGACTGTAAGTGTATTTTTGGGGGTCTGAAATGGATTAATCTAATTTACATTATTCCTTATGGGAACAAATTCGTTCAGTATCGGCGCTTGAACAGCCTTCTGTAACGAATTAAGTTTGTATCCCAAGGTACCACTGTATTTGACAGTGTAATGAGAAAGGAAGGCATCCACAAAGCCAGGACTAAGATTTATATTAGGAAAATTGTGTATGTACTCAAGACATTGTTATGAACTTCTCTCTCCTATGTGTGGGTTATGTAAAGGTATGGTCAGTTTGAGTATTGCTTTGGATGTAATGCCCCTCAAGGAAGATTCCTTGATGTTGGTGAGGGGCTCTTGATTTAGGGAATTGGATCTGTGTTCCAGTTCCCCGAATTAAGCCTGAATGCCTTCCACATCCCCCCCCCCCCGGCACTGTATAATCCTCCGGGTTTAGTGTTTCCCCCTTGATTATAATAATAATAATTTGGATGTAATGACTGCCAGTATAGTATTGTTTTGTGTGAGAGCCCAGGTTATGCTATCAGTCTTGCGTTGGCTGATGTCAGTATTCTCCGTAAGGATGTTGAGAATCTACTGTGCCATACTTCTACAATATAACATGAAGTAAGAGGGGAATTTCAGTTTGGGGTTTATGGCAACAGTATTACACACATCAGGGAACTTGGGGTTACATATACAGTAAGGACTGAAGAAGAGAAGCCCAAAGAGGACACTAAGTACACTTGCAGTGATGGGGGAAAAGAAGTGCATAAGATCATCTTTGTTAGTGGATGTTCTGCTTCATTTTGAGGGGGAGGACTGGATGGAAGGCAACAGTGTTCTGAGGTGCTCACAGAAGAGTTCTAGGTTTGATTACCAAGGTACAGTTAGAAGAAAGTCCTTGGATACTGTAGCCAGATAATGGTGGCAAGTTTTGAGTCTGCAAAACATTTATTTCTAGTGACTTCTTGTACAAGTTAGTGAGTACAGCAATGGGTGGGGACCCCATTACCATACCATGCTTCTGTTTCTAGGTCTTCTTGAAGATACAATAATTGAACCTAATGTATAGTTATTTGAGAAATCATCCACTTATTTTCTTATCCCCGCCACCTTCTACTCACTACAATTATACTAAACACAGGACCCTCATTGGTTTCTTCCTCAACACTTACCTGTATGTTCCCCAGTGTAAGATTGTTACACTGGGGAACATACAAGTAGGCTGGTAGACAGCAAACACCCAGGGAGGTACTACTGTCTTACTGAGTGAGTGTAAAACAGAAGCCTGTAATTGTTTTACATGATGGTAGGTTTGCTGGTGTCTTTTTTTTCTGTCTCATAAACATGCAAGATTTCAGGTATATCTTGCTGCTACTACTAACACTTAGGCTACGCTACACATACATGTACAAGCATATATATACACACCCCTCTGCATTTTCTTCTATTTTCTTACTAGCTTTTGTTCTAGTTTATTTCCTCTTATCTCCATGGGGAAGTGGAACAGAATTCTTCCTTCGTAAGCCATGCGTGTCATAAGAGGTGACTAAAATGCCGGGAGCAAGGGGCTAGTAACCCCTTCTCCTGCATACATTACTAAAGTTAAAAAGAGAAACTTGTTTTTCTTTTTGGGTCACCCTGCCTTGGTGGGAGGATGTGGTCAGTTTGTTGAAAGAAGAAGAAGAATGCCAGGCTAAAGTTCCTCTATACACAAGCACAGTGTCTACCTACTAAGGTTTGCAAGACGCTACTAGATCTTATACAGTGTCACATAGATTATTCTTCCTCTTAGTGGTACTCATCCTTAACCACCACCAATGTTAATAAACCTTTCACTTAAGACACTTCTCAAATTAAAAGTCCTTTTTTTTTTTGTCATTTTTATAAAAAAATAATTTTATCCTGAAAATAGAAGAGAATCTGTTTCTAAAGGTGATGACACAAAAAATGCAAAATTTGATGTTAAACTTACGAAATTACACAGGGTGAATTTGTGGTCTGGAAAAAACATTTAGCAGGCTGTAGACCCTTGTAGGTTTAACGCTTCTTTAATTATAATAAAAAGGGAAAGCATTTTATGCAAAGTAATATTTCACACGGGGGCCCTACTTTAAGTAATTTCCCAAATTACACCGGTCCATTTCCCCGGTATTTCACTGGATTTTTTGTTTACCAAACCCCGTTCAGCTATCAAAACCCCTAAAAAATGTCGGAAGGTTAATTTACCCCAC